CTTCCATAAATAGAAGCGTTATTAATTCTTTTTTCCCAGAAAGGTTATAATCCCGACAGAATTATCTCTTAGCTAAATAACTGAAAATTTTACTTTAACTTTTATCAGAGTTAAAGATCCTTGACAGGTGAATTAAATTCCTTGCACTCTAATTCCTAGTGAAACCATTAGTCTTAAAACCAAAATAAAACCCTTTCTCATTTGCTTCCAAATTTAAACTTTTTTAAGTTTTGTTCATAAAAAAAATTATATATAATATAAAATATATATATATTATAATATATATATATTTATATATATTTTATTTATATATTATATATATATATTTATATAAAATATTTATATATATATATATAATATATATATATAATATTATATATATATATATATAAATTTTTAAATATATATATAATGAAATAAGTCCGGAAAACAGGTGATTTAGAATATGTGTCTAAAAATTTCCCTTTGAAAAATTTGCGATAAAGTTTATTACGGTCAACGGGGTAAAAATCTCAAACAAGATTAAAACATTAAATATAGCATTAGAACGGGACAAGATTCCAATGCTCATTTACCATGTAAGAGATTTTAACCATCCAATTGATTTTAAAAAAAGTTGAAAAAGTAGTTTAACAAGCCATGGTCGAAGGAATATAATTGAATCTTGTTTTTTATAAAAAAAAATTTTGACAATAAAATGAAAATTTCCTTGGTTTTATAAATTAGTCCATTTTTAATTAATGAATTTGGGGGGAATTTAATAAAACTGGCAAATAATAATTTTTTAAATTTTTTGGGTAAATAGTTTTTTGGTGAGTTGTGCAAAGGAACCACCATTGGGCCGGCGCGGTTTGGTTTAACCGTTGTGGGGGCTGTATGAGGTGTTGGCCGACCCCCTTTATTTTTTCCTTATTGGGCTTTTTCTTTCTAGTTTTCCCTTTATAAGTGAGGTCATGAAAGCGCTTTGGAATTTCTTATTCTTTTAAGTGGTTTTTTTTGCATATATTATTATATATAATATATATATATATATATATTAATATATATAATATATATATATTTATATTTAAAATTTATATAATATATATATTTATAATTATACATGGGCCCCCGTTTTTTCGTAAATTTAAACCTTCCTGACACCCAGAAGTATTTAAAAAAAAAAAAAATTTTTTAAAATGAAATACACATATAGTACAAAAAAATACAAAGGGAATTTATGAAAGAAAAATTTAAAAGCATAACCTTACCTTTATTGGAGATTCTTCTTAGTGTATGGGAGACTGGAGGAGGAGAGTGGATTGTTTATAGTTTGGAAGGGGAATCCTCTTCCATCAACACCTCAGGTACCATTTGCTTTTCTGGGGTTGCTTCTCTTCTCTGTTTCTTAATGCCACTAGGACCACCTTGAGAGTCACTGGAGTCCTGTCTCACAAAATAACTGTGGAGAGAGCTCTGTTTCTGGCGTCTCTTTAACACTTCCCTAAAATGGCCCAAGACTTTGTCACTGTACATGTTGCCAATATGGCTTGCAACAACCTTGTTAGGGTTATGTTTCTCCATAAGCTTTCCATCTTACCCCACAAAGTAAAAGTCTCTTTAATTTCTGAAGAAGGCACCTTCTTCCATCTCTCTTCCTCCTCCTCTGTAGCAAGATTCTGAGCTGCGAAGTGTTGCTCTTCCTGCTGAAGCTCTTGCAGCTCCTCAGTGGTGAGCTCTTCATTGTGGTCTTCCACCAATTCTTCCACATCCTCCAAACTCACATCCAACCCCATGGAACTCCCCACTGTCACAATTGATTTTACAACAGACATAGGCTCATTAGGGTCAGTCCCAAATCCTTCAAAATCCCTCTTGTCGACACAATCTGGCCACAATTTTCTCCAGGCAGAGTTCAAAGTCCTGGTAGTCACTCCCTTCCAAGCCATACCTATAAGGGTTATGCAGTGGAGGATGCTGAAGTGTTCTCTCCAAAATTCCCTTACGAGTGAGTGTCTGTGGTCACAGTCAAGCACCTGTGAAACATTGCTTTTGTGTAGAGTTTTTTAAAGTTTGCAATAACCTGCTGGTCCATGGGTTGGAGGAGAGGAGTGGTATTCGGGGGGCAAGAACTTTACTGTGATGAACCCAAACTCCTCGAAAATTAGGTCATCCAAGTTTGGAGTATGAGCAGGTGCATTGTCCATTACTAGCAGGCACTTGAGATCCAATTTCTTTTCCAGGAGATACTCCTTCACACTAGGGCCAAACACTTCATTGAACCCCGACAAAAAATTTCCCTCGGCCCCATGCCTCTATTAGTTTTTCCAAAACACAACAATTTACTCTTCATAACATTTTTTTTTCCTGAACACTCTGGGTTTTTTCGAAGGGTACATTTGTAAGGGCTTCACTTTGAAATCCCATAGCATTAGCACAAAACATTAGTGTCACCCTGTCTTTATAGGCTTTTGCCTGGTTTGCCTTTTCCTCTTGTGTAATGGGCCCTTTTTGGCATTTT